TTCTGGGCAGGCCCTCCCGGCAGAGCAGAGCCTCACCCTTGTCCAGCCCAGCTTCCTCCCCTCCCTCTGCTTCACCCCGGGGGGCTGAATCGCTCTCCCCTCTGCTCCCCAGGCCTCATCTTCAACGACATCTACTCCGCCTCCAAGTTCGCTGTGGAGGGTTTCTGTGAGAGCTTGGCCCTGCAGGCACTGAAGTTTGGCGTGAAGTAAGTCCGGGGGGCAGGGCTGTGTAGGGGAGATGAGCCCCAGCGCTACAGGGGGGCAATGGACATTCCCAGCCGCCCCCCGTCTGAAGCTCGGAGGGGTTGCAGGCAGGTGGCTCCAGGGAGTGGATGGGAGGTGCCTGGTTGCTCCATTGATCCATTAGAACGACTTGGCAGCCCCCACCGCTGCTGACTTTGCTGGTGCTCAGATAAGGGGGATGGACCCACCGAGGCTGTGAGGGGTGGGGTCCAGATGGCCTCTCCCTCCCCTCCGCCCCATGCGCATCCTAGCACTGTTGGCTTAGTGCATCGCGTGTGCACGGAAGGGGAGGTATCGACCGCAGTGCTAGGACCTTAGGCTGGGTGCAGCAGGTGTAAGGATATTGGATTATATGGCCCAGCCATCTGAGACGGCAATGCAGGGAGGTGGGATCCCAGAGTTGGTGGGAGGAAGGGATGGAGGTAGGCGGGTGGTAGAAGGGAGGGAGGGAACAGTGGGAGGGTAGAGGGAGGAAGGGCTGGAAGGAGGAATGGATGGATGGAGGGAGCAGTGGGTAGGTAGAGGGAGCAAGGGCTGGAAGGAGGAATGGATGGAGCAGTGGGTGGATAAAAGGTGGAAGGAGGGAGAGGTGGGTGGTCTGATATGGGAGGGGCAGCAGGTGGGGTGCTGGACTAGAAGGCCCACTGGTCTAAGGAGGTGATGCACCAACCTGTGCGACCCAGCACTTTGCCCCTGCATGGCAGCTCCTATCTGCGTGTGCCCTAATGAGCCCAGAGCCAGGCCCTGGCTGGGTACATGAGCTGTGACATGTTACTGTCTCCTGCTCCTCCCCAGCATCAGCCTGATCGAACCTGGGCCGGTGGTGACCGAGTTCGAAAGGAAACTCTACGAAGAAGCCGCCTGCATGGACCTGTCTGCCGTTGACCAGGAGACACTGGATATATTCCAAGGCTTCTACATGGCCTATTCCAAGGAAGTCTTCACGGTGCTGGGGCAGTCGCCGGACGAGGTGGCTGAGGTAGGGAGCCATTTCCCCACCCTCCCGCGCTCACACTGACCTGCTACCCCCTTCTTAGCCCTATAGCGCTCGTCTCTAACCACACTGACACTGGGGACCTAGGGAGGACGGGTGGGTAGTTAGATCCTAGGGGCCTGCTTGCCAGAGGTTCTAAGCGCCCCCAAATCTAGTGGTGGCACCTGGAGCGGCCGGGGCTGTCAACATCATCTCCAGGCTCAACTTTGAGATGCGGCTCGGCCTCTGTCCCAGTCATCTGCCGCGTGGGGTGGGGTGTGGGTCTGTGTAAGGGCAGGGCGACCAGCGGTGAAGCAAGTATGTTACTGCTCAGCACTTCGAGATCCATAGATAAAAAGCATTTTTGTTGAGCTGGGCACAGCTATCCCCATTTTACAGAGGGGGGGGAAACTGAGGCATTGAAAAGGGAAGGGACTTGCAGAGCTGGGATTGAACCCAGGAGTCCTGGCTCCCAGCCCACTCCTTCCCCAATCACCTAGGCAGTACCGTAATACACCTAATAAATAACATACGGTGGCCAGTGTAGTGGGGCTTGAGCCATGGCTGGGGCTCGTAGGCGCTACCAATACCAACAGTAAGTGGTAATCAGAGTGATGCTGATGTACACCAGTTGGTGATCTGGCCCATTGAGTTCAATGGAGCCATGATTATTTATATTATCGTCGTGCCTAGGAGTCCCCATCATGGCCCAGGACCCCATTGTGTTAGGTGCTGTATGTTA